GACGAGGGCAAAAAAAAAAAATTGTTCATTCATAATCGAGGTAAAATATTCAATTAATCGTGATATTGATTTAAGGTCATATCGCCCAGCCCTACCCATAGTGCTAACACAGATATAACCTTCAAATCCTTGTCTCAGCTTTTTGACACTTGCAAATGCAAAGATGAATGTAAGGCATAGTTACTGGTGGTGTTACTGCTGCAACTGAGGGGGAGAATCATTGCTATTTGTCTGTGTTCTCCTTTTGTTCTGGGTAGGCCAAGAGCCTGAAGATGCTGTGTGAATGATGTAGCTACATGTGAATGAATGTTACATACATCTATATAGCATTTTTCCATACACCCAAAGCACTGTGCAGAACCTATAGATAGCCCCTTCAACGACCACTATGTATCACCCACCTGGATGATGCCATGGCAGCCATTCTATGCCAGTACACTCACCACACAGTAGCTAATGGGCAGGGGAGAATTCACCAGTTAGATATTGGGGATGATTAGGAGGCCAGATTAAAAAAGGACCATGGTGGGCAGTTTTAGGCAGGACATTGTGATTCCATACCTACACTTTTAAAAGATGCCCAGGGATCTTTTTTATTACCTCAGACAGTCAGGACCGCAGTTGTATGTCTCATCCAAAGGACTGCACCATTTTTACAGCACAGTGTCCCAGTCACTGCACTGGGATCCACACCGACCCCTGGATGGGCTAACCTCTTGGCCACACCAACACCTCTTCCAGCAACAACCTGGATTTTCTAGTTGGTTTCCCTTCCAGGTACTGGCCAGGCCCAAACCTGCTTAGTTTCAGATGGATTATCTAGCCTGAAGTGCCAGTGACTTGGCTGCTGACTCAAACAAGAACCAATAGAAGTAAAAGGAATGCAAAAACAATGGGAAATCAAAACTCAAAATGTCCAATAAAGCAGGCCTCTCTCCAGCCTCAATGCTAGGAACGGAAAGGGAGCACAGGTCTAAACCACACACAGCCAATTTAGCTATACTGTGGCCCAGGGAGCAGGGGAACACTCTAGGGAACTGAAAAATGCCACCCTAGAGAAACAGGGTAGGCAGTGACACCTGCTGACCAAACAGGGGAAGACCAATTGAACAGGGCAAGACAGGAAGCAGTCCTGACAGGTTCAAGTGGCTACAGATAGGAACACCTATTTTGACCATTGCCAATTTTTGTCTAAGATCCATGCACAATGCACAATTATTTACCTACGCTATCCTATCCATCCACTAACCTCTATTCCTGGTCAAGGTCACAGGAATCTATCCTAGACACCCACCCATTTTCTGTAACCGCTTGCCCTATTCAGTGTAATGGGGGTCTGGAGCGTATCCCGGTGGCTACTGGCACAAGGCAGGGATTAACTCAGAATGGGGCGCCAACCCATCACAGGACACACTCACACACACATGCACACTTACCGGCAATTTGGTAACTCCAAATAACCTCAGCATGTTTTAAACTAGTATTTAAACTAATATTGAAGTAGCCATTTGGCTGAACAGCCTCCAGACCTGTTAGAATCTTATATACCTGGATCATGTCCCCCCTTAGTTTCCTTTGCTTGAGGCTGAACAGATTCAGCTCAGCTAACCTCTCCTCATAAGACATTCCTCCACAGGCCCAATCACGTTTTATTCCTTTTATCATAAATTCCAAAACTATATATTACCTCATGACAAGTTTGGTCATAAAAAGACAGAGGACAAAGAATGCAAGTCGTATGCAAGTCTTTAAATCATCTTCATGATCTCCACCTCTGTAGCATGAAGAGCTGATCTGTGAGCTGTAAACAGCTATAAAGTGTAACATGTATATGTAAGTAACTCTATTACCCATGGATGCATATCCGTTGTAAGTCAGACGTTTTATAAACATAATTGTTAGCAGGAGGGGTTATGTGAATGTTTGGTAATATTTTAATCACCAAGGCATGTGCTGACTCTACTTCTCCATCAGACTTATTTATAAAAAGTTTTTAGATTACACATGTCCTCTGATTGCACACCGATCAGTTTTATTTTTGCATTATCTGAGTATCTAATTTTATGGCAATGAAACTCTTGGAAAGACTGGATTTTTTAGCTTTCTGAGCAACAATTAAATGATGCTCTTTTAGTTTAATCTTGCAATAGCTGCATCTCATTGTGACAGTCCTTTGACATTGGTGCGTAGAAACCACAGTTAGAATTTTGTACTTTCACTGTTTGTAGAGAGGACTCCTCTGCCACTTGCAACAAACATCATGACATAGTTTGGTTCTTTTTTTGGTTGCTTCCTGGATGAAAGTATTGTTGTACTGAAACATAAAATAAATGTTATCACTATCGTGTAACCTGGGGCATGGATAGCCTGGCAGATTCGGGGGCCCAGCACTGGCTGGGCAATTTCTATGGCAGGGGACCAATTCTGGGCCCAAGCTTAGAGGGCACAGAATTTCTAGCTATGCTCCGGCACGTACTAATACAGATAATAAAAATGCTGACAGTATTTGAAATCTGCTGTGGTGTAATTTGTTTGCGAATTATGCCTTATTATAGTCAGAGCTTTCCGTGTTCTTGTTTCCATGTATTGTTTTTGTCCTGATTTATTATTATTTTCTTCTTCTCAAAATCATGTACACTCACCTAAAGGATTATTAGGAACACCATACTAATACGGTGTTTGACCCCCTTTCGCCTTCAGAACTGCTTTAATTCTACGTGGCATTGATTCAACAAGGTGCTGAAAGCATTCTTTAGAAATGTTGGCCCATATTGATAGGATAGCATCATGCAGTTGATGGAGATCTTGGCACTAAGGGGCCTAAAGTGTGCCAAGAAAACATCCCCCACACCATTACACCACCACCACCAGCCTGCACAGTGGTAACAAGGCATGATGGATCCATGTTCTCATTCTGTTTACGCCAAATTCTGACTCTACCATTTGAATGTCTCAACAGACCAGGCAACATTTTTCCAGTCTTCAACTGTCCAATTTTGGTGAGCTCGTGCAAATTGTAGCCTCTTTTTCCTATTTGTAGTGGAGATGAGTGGTACCCGGTGGGGTCTTCTGCTGTTGTAGCCCATCCACCTCAAGGTTGTGCGTGTTGTGGCTTCACAAATGCTTTGCTGCATACCTCGGTTGTAACGAGTGGTTATTTCAGTCAAAGTTGCTCTTCTATTAGCTTGAATCAGTCGGCCCATTCTCCTCTGACCTCTAGCATCAACAAGGCATTTTCGCCCACAGGACTGCCGCATACTGGATGTTTTTCCCTTTGCACACCATTCTTTGTAAACCCTAGAAATGGTTGTCCGTGAAAATCCCAGTAACTGAGCAGATTGTGAAATACTCAGACCGGCCCGTCTGGTACCAACAACCATGCCACGCTCAAAATTGCTTAAATCACCTTTCTTTCCCATTCTGACATTCAGTTTGGAGTTCAGGAGATTGTCTTGACCAGGACCACACCCCTAAATGCATTGAAGCAACTGCCATGTGATTGGTTGATTAGATAATTGCATTAATGAGAAATTGAACAGGCGTTCCTAATAATCCTTTAGGTGAGTGAAAGTCATTCTACAGCCCCAATCTGAGTTTATATATCACATACAGAGCTAAGGCTACAGAAAAAATGACCCATGTCAACCACTGGAAGGGTGCTAAAATAATTTGACACTTGTGGACAGTCGTACGTTCAAAAACTTTGTATCACTGTTTGGCAGGGCTCCGGACTGCAACCATTTAGTCACATTGTGACCGTTTTTGGAGACTAAATTGTATAACTAGATGTATCTCATGCCACTCGAAGCACCAGAGAAGAGTGTGGATTGGTCTTTACGGTTGGCGATACGCTCATTTCACATGCCCTCCATTTTGAAATAGAAGGCGAGGTTGAGGTGGCCATAACATTACAGTCAAGACTCACTTATCTACGTCTGTGGTACACACAGGTTACACACATTCACTTCAGTTGTATTTTTACCTTATGGTCTTATCATGCCGTTTCAACCTTGTTAGATAGGCCAGTCAACTACGAATATTATACACCTACAAACCTTTGGTGATGTTTGATGTTATCATGTTTTGCAACAGCATATATAGCACTAAGTAGGTTAAAATATATTATTTGTAGCTTTTTAGCTAAATGATTTATTGTAGGCTATCACTGTTATTGATAGGCTGCTGTAACGGTGCAACTGTTTGTGTGAGAGATATTAAGTTAACTTGCTGCAGTGTAACGTAACCAGCAAAAAGTCACATTATGAATAGATTTGTTTAGTATTTGTTTGAGATTTCAAATGTAACACTTGCAGTAAAATGCAAAATTCATAAAACAAAAATACAAAAGGGCACTTGTATTATAATGCTAGGCAGTCAAAATTAATGCAAATTAAAATTGTAGTTTTGGCCCATGAAGTAATCCTGCATTAATTTAACTCCTTTTCTTTTATTTGTTGGTGCACATTTCTTATTATTTTCTATGTATACCTTAAATTGGCCTATTTGTATGTACTGTAACAAATATCCCTCTAGCTGATGTAACTTTTGTGCAATCCATCCAGTTTCTGTAATTACTTGTCCCTTTCAGGGTTGCAGGGGGTCCAGAGCCTATTCCAGAGGGCACAACCCAAGATCAAGTACCAGCCCATCACAAGGCACACTCACACACAAGTCACTCATACATGCTCAGCTATGGACAATTTGACATCTCTAATTAACCTCAGCATGCTTTTGGACTTGTGGGAGGGGAAGCTGGAGTACACCACACAGTGACATGGGGAGAACATGCTCCACACATGTGGAATCCTGGTGAAGTCTTCAACACTGGTCCCAGAGGTATGAGGTGACAATACTAACCACTGCACCACCATCTGTGATGTTGAGCTTATAGATTTATTTTGACGGGCCTATAAGCACATTTTGGAGGTAACGGTACTTTTACTTAAGTAGCAATTTTTCAACTGTAATTAGCATGAAAAATTAGAAAAATTTTTGGTTGCGAAAAACTGTTTTATTTTGTCGACCAACAGCTTGACCCAGGTTGTTTTTCATAATAAACTGCTTTAAAAACAGGCAAAAAAACTCCATCAGGAACAGGTATGTACATGAGAAATTCAGGTGAAAGATCAATTTCATACATTATGTAATTATAAGAATAATTACATACATTATGCAAGTTCACTGCATTTGTTGAAAGATATTCCCATTTTAGGAGTATATTATAAGTTGAACATCGAAAGCAATTAGTGCAAATACACTCAGATCTACATTTCCATACATATTTACAGGTATGAATTTGCGTGCACTTCTCTTAGCTCGTACAAAACATACAAAAGATACAAAACGTTAAGCACTGAGAAGACATCTGTTTGGCGTCTGTCAAGCTAAATCAGTGGAAACAGAAGCTTTTTATGACCATTGGTTGCTTTTAAAGTGAAAAGAAACAGTAGGACTTGCACTTGAACTTGCAGCTAATTATAAATTTTATTAGGGTACAGGGCATCCTGTCAGTTTTGAATGAGTTTTTGAAGATCATTTGGAAGATACAATTTGTCCTACTTGTACTGAATGAACACAGAGAATTCTAGATTATGGAGTTTCGTACAATGATTGAGTCATTCAGCGAAAACTTTTAAAGATAAAGTAGAGTGAAAGAAATTTAAAATATAAATAACTAGAAAATATTCCATCATATCCTTTTGAATATCTTTTGATTTACAAAATAACTGGTGTACCACTTGTATTTTAAACTTTTTTCTAATACTGATCAGAACAATCTGCTCAGCATCTTCAAAATTAATAAATACAAAATAATTTTAAAAATTAAAGCTTGTTAAAGAAACACATAAAACAAGGCTCTGTCAGGTTTATGCAATTTCTAGCTATCCACATCTTTGGAAGATTACAAAAACGTCACACAAAAACATTATGTACATATTTACACTTACCTAGGTTTGATTTATGTATGTGTTAAGCTTTCATAATATCTAATTATTTTGTAAACTGGGCAAATCCATTAAAATAGGTAGAATTATGCAGTTTGGACACAAAAATATACCCATCGGTCCATTCTTTACCATGTCAGGGTCACGGGCAGTGAAATGCCATGTTATCAATTGGTTTACACAAAATACAAAAAAATATTCAGGGGGATATATTTCAAATGGAAAAATACCAAAGCCCTCACTTAGTTCCTGAATAGTTATGCTAACATGCATTAGTCGTCCCCAGCTCTGTTCTACTTTTATTTGAATTTAAGAAAGGTTATAGGTTATCTATACCCCAGTATAGAGTATACAGTATATTAAATCGTATCTAATATATTAAATCTCAGCTGGCCAGTAGGGGGCAGTATAACATTTTATATTACAAGTATATTTCATATTACGTCCAACAGATGAGGGTTTTGAAAAAAATATTGCTAGAATACATGAAAGACAATTAAGGGGAATAGTTGCAATTCTCCATGAGGTTAAAAAGCAGCTCTTTTATCATTGTCATGATATTTCATGGGCAGACCATTTATTATGTCTGCAGTCATCATTCCAATATAACAGCAAAACAAAAAAAAGTTACACCTAACCACATCTGTATACTCAGATTGATCACATAGTTATTTTTCCATATATGTATGAGCTAAAATTATTTTGACATAATATCCAAATTGAAATCCAAATTTCCAAATCTACTGTCAAACATATGTACATCTTCAAAGTTTAGACTTGCAAGAAAAGCATAGCGTGTTCTGCAGAATATTTTTGTCTTATATATATGGATTTACAGCATGTAAACAATTAACATAATTTGAAGATTAATGTGGACTCTGGGTAATGCACAGGAAACAGTCTGTAGCTGAGCACTTTTTTTTATATGAATGTCTTTGTTTCAATTAAATTTTAATTAAAATTTAACACATGTAAAAATGTATACATATTAAAACATGTCATTTGACAAATTTCAAAATGTACTATATATATATTTAAGCATTCCTGAGGAATTTTCCTCCTTGAAATTCAATATACACGTATATAAGTATAAAGTATGATTTTCATTGTATGTATTTTGAAAGGTCAGATTATTTAAGTCATCAAATAATCACATCTTTCAATATGCTAATACCATTATTAAAGTCAGGAGGCTTAATTATTCAGGAATAAATAAGTATTTAATTAATTGCTGTAAAATTTATTTTGACTTTAGCATTTTGAAATTTGAAAAACGACTGATTGTCTTTCAAAGCCCATCAAGTATAAACGCTGCAGATGACAAATATCGATTATTCTAAGTCAGCCTCAGAAATCAGTTAACTAGAGTGATAAATGACTCCATGTTCAGCTTCTTAAAACAAAATGCCCCCAAATTACACATACTGACAAAGTACAGTCTTATAAAGACCTAAAATGGAATCCTGATTAGTTTTAGTGTGTCTTTTTAAGTACTATTATTATTACAGCAGTGTACGACATGAACTGAGATAACAGAAAATTCTATGAGCCCTAATATGTAGGAATTTATGAGATTTCAGAATATCAAAACGTGTTTACCTTAAATATAAATTTCTGTTCTATGAGTAGGATCATTGCAGTAAGATATGAGTAGCTCTTGAGGCTTGTTTTGTTAATTTGGAAGGATTTACTTGGTCCCCTCTGGGATGGGAGTAATGTGGTTTAGCCTCATTGCCCAGGGGTCAGCTGCGGCAGAGTAGAATGGTTGATGGGAGAGAATATCGTCGTGGGTCAGGGCAAATGTAAACACACCTTTCTTCCTCTCCATCTCATCACCATGGTTTCTGTCTAATTTGACATCAAGACTCTCCCTACTGTTGTCCAAGTCCTCAAAGCTCAGGCTGCTGCCCCCCAAGTGATGTCTCTCTAAGAACCTGGGACCAGAGACACCGTGTCCAAGTGAGAGCAGTTGGCTGTTGATGCTGAGGCCCTTATCTTCATGATGGGCGGATGATGGATAAAGGAAGTTGGGGGAGCGCCAGGCAGCGGGCTTGCGGCCCCTTCGAGGTCGAGAAAGGCGGCAGCTCTGCCTCTTTATGTGCCGGTGAAGGTGGTCCGACCGCGTGAAGCTCTTGTAGCAGTGCTCGCACTGGTAAGGCCGTACCCCTGTGTGAATACGTAGGTGGTTCTTCAGATCGTAGTTGTGGACAAATTTGGAATTGCAATGAAGGCAGATGTATGGCCGTTCTCCAGTATGCTTACGCATGTGGATCTTCAATTTGTCTTGCCTGCAATGGTGAAAGCAATGAAATTCTTATTTATACAGAACAACCATTTTTATCAACATCTCTGACTAAATTGACATTATACCACTAGTAAAATCATAGCAACCTTGAACACATCTTAGAAATGCTTGCACACTTGTGTATTTATGGACAGAAACTAATATGTTGAATGATCTAAAAAGCACAAATACTTTTGCTTTGTAATAAAGTCAACTGCTCAAGTGTCAGTGACAAATTAAAAGATGTACTCATGGTAGAAAAGTTCACAATTATGATATTAAAACTAAATAGATAGTCAGCTTCATAATATGTGAAAGTGGTCTGATACCATGAGGTACTTTGTCATTTCTTAATGTTACAAAATATGAAATGCAAAAAAAAACTAGCTCAGCGAATGTGACAGTTTTGCTGGCTCCACAAAAAATGCAATGCTAAAACAATTTAGAAGCAAAATCTTAAATATCTGTACATCTTAATATCATGACTGTCAGGTGTCATTCATTTCTAAAGAGAATCGTTTCTTTACCCACCTGGTGAATCTGACCTCACAGATAGTGCACATGTACGGTTTCTCTCCAGTGTGTGTCCTCATGTGACGAGGCAGTTTTCCTGCCCCCTGAATTACCTTGTTACAGATTGGACACTGTTGGGATGCTTTGGTCTTCATTTTTCTCTCTTCCTCTAGCTGCCAAGGGGGGAATAAGCTTTCAAGGTGAGTGGCACTAAGGAAGTTCAAGTATGACCTAAAATCTGACTCATCCTTAATAGTTCCGAGGTGGGATTCAGGTATCATACCAAGACCTGCGCCCATAAAGTCTTTTAAAAAGTCACTGTGAAAAAGGCTACTGGTGATCTCATCGTTCAGCTCTTCCTTAATGCCCTCCTTCTTAACTGCTAGGTCCAGTGGCCTGCTTTCAAGTTCTTGGCAGTATGGGAGGGGGCTAGGGTTAGGTTTCTGGATTTGAGGAAAGCTTGGGAAATCCCCGGGCCACATGGGTGGGAATAACCCTGGAAGGAGTGGGGGAAGAGCTGACCGTCTGTCTATACCTGTTAACTTTGGGTACAATCCTTCTTGTAGTAAGGATTCAATGGAAAAATCTTTCAGGGCTCTGCCTTCTAAATTTTCATTGTTTCTGGGTTTCTCATTGAAAACCTCTGTGACCTCAGTTCTCAGTCTGTTTGAAATTATTTCCTGCTGGGAGGTACTCGGAGAACAATCTTGGTCTTGACCTGCAGAAGATTGTATCGATTGTTCAGCAGCTTCATTATCATCGTGTTCTTCCTCCTTTGACTCTTCACCTTCTTCCTCCACATCGTCCTCATCCTCCTCGTCTTCATCTTCCTCCTCATCTTCCCTTCCCGTGTCCATAATCTCCAGGCACACTCGGATAATGCAGGGAATCTCCAGCATTTGAGCAGCATTTAAGATCTCTTTCACATTAGAAGTGGTGATTGTGAGAGTGGAGGTGTAAGCGAATTCCAGGATTGCAGTAAGCGATTCAGGTGCAACAAAGTCAATTTCATAGACACTGTGTTGATCACAGTCCATTCCTACAGTGAAGAGTTTTTTGAAGTACTGACTGCAGGCGGCCAAGACAGAACGATGTGTGTGGTACTCCTGGTCCCGAACAATGAGTACGACATCGCACAGAAGACCATCCCGGCGCTGTTCGTTTAGACTGCATAAAACATCGCTGCTGTGGTTGGGGAATGGGATCCCAATTAAGTCGTCTTCTCTGTTGGCCATTTTCTCACCAGTGACTCTGCCAAAAGGATGCATAAAAACCAAGATTCAATAAATTTCCCCGAACAGCATAATATATATGCTCTTAAATGCTGTTACTCAGAATCATTTTTTTCTGATCAAATTCAACTCTCATTTCTTTATCAAGCACTTGTTCTGGAAACAAAATATTATCTATGCAGTTTATTCTGACTAACATTATTTGGCAGGGGCATATTACCAGTTTAAGAAATTACTGCACTAAAACTACTTTTGTAACATGAAAATTAGCATTAGATTGCAAAATATAGGATTTAAAAGCATTACAATTAAAAAGCAATATTGATAAATTTTAAACACTAAAGTAACAATAACAATATCTATTAATTATTAAATACAAACCTAATGTCAAATCAAGACACACACACACGTGTATATATATATATTCATAACACAGTTAAAATATATATATATATTTAATTATTTATGTAATTTTTAATAATTTTGTGTTCATTAATAGAAAAATAGCTGTAGAACAAATTTTTGGGAGACAGATGGTTCACTTACTTACAGTCCATTACTCCCTAAGAATTTGAGCATGTTAAGGTCAATAAACAAACCAGCTAAAAGATGCAGCCTTGTCACCTTGCATTCTTTGTCACACTCCTTCCCCAGGCTTCTCTCTAGATACGCCTTCTTCTTAAGGATCACTCACAATAATTTGTTCCAGATATAAGAAACAGTACTACTGAAACTCTCTTTTAAATTTTGGTTATATAGGCAAGCTTTTGGGATATCGATGTCCTGACTCCACATGACTGACCATTTGTTGATTTGGTGTAAGTACGACACCAGCTGCCTCATACAGTGATTTTGATGGCCACGCTTTACAGCTGTGGCTCAGGCTGTTAGCTTCACACAGCAGCAGATCACAGCACCGAGGGGGCCTGTCATGTGAAGAGTGAAAGTCTTCGCCAAATTATCCACGGTTTTTGTATATCAGACGAGGTTAACTGGGGTCTTATTATTTCTTCTAAAACCACGGATTTCTGCAAAAACAGTGGTGATTAAAGAAATTAAACAAGCATGTGGTATTCTGGAAATTGTGGTTTGCTGTGTAACTGGAGTTCACCAGAGGTTATTAAAATAACGTTGATTTACTGTTTACGTAGATGGTGCAAAGACTTGCTAGCATGCTAAAAAATCAGCTGATACCCATTTTGAAAATTTGTAATTAAAGCCTTTATAAACAGAAAATACTACTAGATAAGAATATATTTGCTGAATGTTACACAGCATAGTATGAAATCAAATTTGTAACAGCATTCACTTTACATGTAGTAGAACTATTGAATGTTTCTGACATTTTGATTAAAAAATAACTAGCATTATCGAAACGGAATAAAAATGTTTTTGTCTTCCATATGAGGACAATACACAAAATAATTTGAAATACTAAACTCAGAAAGTACATGTCTATCAGTCTTCAGATTTTCAGTGAGGATTTCTACAGTAATTTGCACGATTTAATTCCATTTCATCCAGACATGTAGGTCACATCTCCACTACGGGAAGTGTTCCTCCCATCACCCGATCCTCTGCAGATGTTCAGTTCCTTCTCAGAAACATTGGTCGTAGTACCCAAAAGATACAATGAGCACTGAGACTGCCGTCAATGATTTTTGCTGCAGTGTTCATTGGGGTTTGCCAGCCGACCCTAAAAGTAGGCTTTGGTCCGGTCAAAACTCTCCTTCATAATCTCCATCCTTTCAGGAATAGCATTTGCAATGACCATCTGGGACCTAGAAGGTCTGGAGAAACAGGATTGAGGTCTCTTGTTAACAGTAGTTCTTGGCCATCTTTAACCACCCTGCATCTGGACTCTATACCAGAGCACACCTGCTCTCTTTGCATTGATGGCTGGTGTTTGACTGGTGATTATGTGTCCAGTGTCACATTCTAGCAGGGAAGGGATACTGCAGTGAAGTCTCCCCGATCACTGCATACTAGCAGAGCTTATTGGAATCTATGAAGAGGGAATTAGCACGCAGGGATGATCTGGAATCTGTCATTTAACGTGGCAGTGACATGCAAAATTCGAGACAGAAAGCATCCTAGGAAATGACTCGGCTAGCTAATCCAGGTCCTTTCCACTTTGAAGATCTGAAGCCCATAAATATGCATGGGAGTTATCCAGTCAGGAGCATTTTCTGCAGGAAAGCTAGTCATGATTGTTGAGATTGCCCCGTAATTCTAACATTGAAGGTGAAGGCGAGGCCTTTAAGAGTCAGACTATTTTCCCTTTTAATCAAGTTTCCCACTTGCCCATCAGGTGGAGGTATCCTGGGAAGGTGAGAAAATTTCTCTGTCAACCTAATAAAGTCCAGCTAAGCAGGTAACTTCGCTGGCACGTAGCATTGCAGTGGGGAATTCCTCTATGACCTTGCCTTCCCACAACTCTAAGGGGGCTATTGACAGTAGACTCATACCAGAACATTACTAAAATTACTAACCAGTTGTGGTGATATATATGGATCTCATGTTTAGCAGATAGTTTATGATTGCCTCAAACCCTGCTTATGTTAAGCTGGCCATGACTTCACCTCCACAACCCCAGTATTCCATAGTCAACTGTACCCTGAAGTGATGTGTGTTGTGCTTTGTGCCAGAACCTCACGCTATAGAGTAATGTCATGCACAGCCCGTACGTGGTGGGGGGGAGAGAATCATTCTAGCTCTATATCAGGACCTCCAGGAGGTCTTCGGTATGTGGGAGGGGGCTACTGCCTCGGAACCCCACAGGATTTTGGAAGCAAATGATTGTAAAACAACCTTCCAAACAGCCAATGGAAATGTGGGCTCTTGGTTATGCTATTTAGCTTGGTGGATGTGCCTATGGAATTCCAAGCATTTCTTAATGATGTGCCTCCACACATGCTATTGTTGTAATATACTTGTGTATTCTTTGGAAGTAACCTCCCACATACAGCATGCTGGGTTAGGACCCATGGAATATGGTAGGAAAGGCTGCATATTTCAGAAGTTTGAGTTTCATACCTACTCAGTTTTATTTTTAGGGTATGTTTTGTCCCTATCCAAAGTCGATATGGATTGTAAGAAGGTCCAAAACTTTATGCATTGGCTGCAGTGAATTATTGTTACCATGGTACAACAAATCCATCCACTTCATTAATTAATGGCAGTTTCATCAGGAGCTTCAGCACTGTGGTGTCCCCTCTTACTATTTACATGATGGTTTCCCCTTTGGCACATCACTTGCTCGCCAAAGGTATTTCCTATGTTGGTTCACTCTGATCTGGACTAACCTTCTGAGATACGCTGAAGGTGGGGGTAGGAGCCGTTTTGATTCAATGGAAACCCAGAGAAATTCCATTTGGGTGACTATTACTCACACAAGTTGACCCCAAAAGAGGCTAATTATGACATTTGTAATGAGGAAATGAAACCAGGCTCTGAAATTATCCTGAGAAGTGTGGAAACACTGGTTAGAGGGCACCAAATACCCAATTTTAGTAATTATCGACCATAAGAACCTGGAATTTCGCCAAATTGCTAAGCAACTGAACCCCAAGCAAGTGCACTGGGATTTATACTTTACCCATTTCCGTTTCCAGCTGATACAGAAGACAGAAAAGGAGATGCACTATATAGCATCTATGACAAAGACTGGGAGGTTCCATGTCTTAACCCTCAAGAGGCTTCTCACGGTTCGAGACCTGGAATGTAGGCTTTGGTGGTATGACAGTTTTATAGTATACCCTGGTATTTACCCTGGTATTTAGAATTCCCAAAGGTATTATATTTAATACCATCAAAAATACGGACGCTCCACTTTCTATTGAAATGATATGGAGATGCTGCATTGAGAGAACATATTGTAATGCACAGCGTTAGCAGTAATTGGAGCCTCACTTAAAAAGATAAAAAGTCAAAGAATAGCATGCATGCATGGGTTAATGCCATAAAAACAAAATGCACAATAAACTGCTGGAAACATCTGCAGCATACGTGACACCTAGTGCACATGTAGCAGGAGACCAGCCAGGTGCCACAGATCTGCACTGACATTGGGGTCAATACCGGCAGTACCCAGGTTAAGGCCGTCCAACTTCTGGACAACTCGTACTTACGAATGTACTGCCATAAACCTATTATATAAAAAATTTGGGTTAAATACAATGGTTTGTAATAATGAACACATGCACTACTTTGTGATGCACATGAAAACATTGCATGATTTCAGCAGTTTGTTGACATGACGTACAGTATAGTACCGTATGTAGCTACTTTTCTTATTACACTAGAATTATTATGTACCGCATTATTAATTTTCCGACTTACCTACAAATTTGACTTAAAAACAGATTTAGTGACCAGATCTTGTTCATACCCTGGGATGATTTTTTTTAACCCTTCACTTTTTAGCATCATAATACACCTCTGATTAATATTTTAAGCATACTATTAATCTGCTTATCAAATTGTGGGTGTAAGTAAACGTCTGTATAATACCAAAAAGCCAGTGTCTGGATATATTTTTACGCCTATTATCTAAAGCTCCGGAGTTGTCTCCTCTTTTCTAGCATTTAATTTCCACACTGATCAGGCTCTCTCTGATTCTAGAGTTTACCATAGCTGATATGATTTTTAGTTATTAATTTTTAAAATACCATCATATACCAGGCTGAAATCTCTAGAAGGTATAACACTATGAAACAATAAATACCGGCCAAGCCTACTGGCAGACCTCCTGTTCCACCACGTTTTTCATGTCTGCTGCATCCCAAAAGGCACGGTGTCTGAATGAAATCCTCATTTTTACATTGAGTTTGGAAGACCTTTTATGACTCAGTTTTTCTTCCATGTATCAACCTCAGACAAATGGCTAGATTGAATGAAATAGCAAGGAAATCTAGCTAGTTTTGTAGACATATATTTTGGGCAGTCAGCAAGATTGTCTTCCTTTGAAGTATTTCCACAATTTTATGTTGGGTCCAGCCACAGGCCTTACTACATTTC